TTTTCCCTTATTAGATAAAGATAAAAATGATGAACTTCTGTATTAGGATTGGGTGGCCTCCTGTGGAAAAGAAAATGTGTAAATAAATATGTATATAACTGCAGGACTTGGTTTGTCATCTTGTTCTTTTGTTATCAACAAAGAGTAACACACCTATATGAAATGAACATACAATTGAGCTCAAATTGCAAAGAATGTAACTTAAATTACAAAGTTACATTTCGTGTACATACACCTAAAAATAAATGTTCGTGTATTTTCCTCTTCGTTTCATGATTGCACTTTAGTATCTTATGCTTTCTTGTCAGTAAAGTACTATGTATTCACTAAGAACTAGACAAAGCGAGTTTTTCGGGGGGAGGGGAGTGACGCTTTGAGGAATTGTCCTAGATCAGCCGAAACGTGCGGAAACATATAGCTTAGCTGTAACCATGGTAACGGACAATGCCATTAAATATTCCGGGGGTAATCAGGAATACCTATTGTGGCAGCGTTGCTAAAACAGGGATTTGTAGATACCTAATAAATATGAGATGAGTCATTGTGGCGACAGATCAATCACTTAGAAAAGTGTAGTGTAAGGCTACATATAACTGAGTTGTTGTGAATAATGTTGCATTTCTAATACTGTTCAAGATCAGATAATTATTATATACTGACTGATAGTCTGGTGTATTTGCTGTGATTGTTTAATTTATGTAACACGCATGATTTAACTTTTCCATAACAATCAACTTCAGATAGAAACGGTATGCCGTAAGGACGATTCCGACACCAAGTGGCACTGTGACAGGTTTATAAGCGCAAATCAATAAACGCAAAGACTTCTTTGTAAATGCTATGTTTACTGATGTTACTTCAACCACAGTTTCAGCTGAGGCTGTTAAAATAATTCTAACTTAAGCTAAAATGTGTAATTATTCGCTGAGTTAGTTCAAAACATTAAAGCTGTTTTTCGTTAATATTATATTTTAAATTCACAATTACGGAATTTCTTAAAGCTTATCTATCAACAATGATTTTTAAAGAGGTTTAACTAGTCCTATTAGTTCATGTCAAAGAAATAATAATTATGTCATGAACCACGATAATGGTTCATAATAGGGATCGCACAGGAATTTGCTCAAAACTAATAGAACATTCGGGCAAAAACCCTTAAGCAGACTTATTCTTGAAACAACACCCAAAACCTTCTTTTTCAATGGTTAAGACCACCCAAACATTGATAATAAACAAAATCAGTGATTTAACGATTGTAAACAAAATTAAAATTTTGACCATGTTTTCATAGTATTATTAATATTATTGTTTCATAAACCTACAGCAAAATCGGCTGGGTATTTTGCATCAAAAGCTAAACAGATATACTATATGAAGGGCTGTGGATGTCCATGACCTATTTAAAAGTTGATTATTTTTCATTTAAAGTTGATTTACCTGGTAATATATACATAATAGATGCGATGTTGTTCTGCTGCTTTTCTACTTGTAAAATTTTGTGCGCGCTTAGTGGGGGCTGTGTCTTACTCTAAACATAGGTCCGGCATGGCCAGGTGGTTAAGGCACTCGACTCGCAATCTGAGGGTCGCAGGTTCGAATCCCTGTTACACCAAACATGCTCGCCCTTTCAGCCGTGGGGGCGTTATAATGTGACGGTCAATCCCACTATTCGTTGGTAAAAGAGTAGCCCAAGAGTTGGCGGTGGGTGGTGATGACTAGCGCAGATAGCCCTCGTGTAGCTTTGCGCGAAATTCAAAAACAAAACAAAAAACAAATACTCTAAACATATATTTGCCCATTGCTGTGCATTGAAAAAGCCAACATACAAGATAATTGAAAATTGAGTATTTATAATCTAAAAATTGGGATCACAAAAAAAGTAAGCAAACAAGGCTGGAGATCTACTCCCTATTATGATTCCATTATAAAAATTATTGTAATTGATATCTGCTGTAGTGTGGGATCGAACAGGAATTCTGTAAAAAACTAAGGGAGTAATTTTATTTTAAACTTAAATTCGACTTCCTTAATTTTGTCTTGCTGCGAAATTTTCTAAGCCCTCCACTTTCCGCCATCAAAAAATCCGGTGTTTTCCTAGTGTGCGCGTTAGTTGGAAACTACAACCCGTGCATTTTCTAGCGCTTTAATTGGAAACTGCCACTAAAAAGGTTCCCGATTTTGCTCATCCTTACTTGAGTTTGCTGTCTATGTGGATTTCCGTGACTATATTTCAGTAAGTTTTTAACAGTGGACGATTATCATAGTATTTTGTTACGACAGTGGAAGTCGCGCGACGCTGAGAGCATGCGCTGGAGTTCTAGAAAGATCGTGGAACCTGTCGAACGTCCAAGCGTTTGCTAGATGAGAGCTCGTATTGTATATAAGCGCGGCAAATAAAGCGAGAGAATTAATCGGAACTGGAGTAGCAGATAGAGAGATTGAAGATAATACACACAGTTAATCGAGTCAATTGAGCGGTAGTGACCGTAAGTAAAGGGCGTGAATCGTTGTGAATTATAGCATGTGTTTAAGTTAAAGTGACTGTGGAAATTAAGTGTATTGCAAAGTTGAATTGAGAAAGAATAAACTGGTTTTATTTAAGAAAGGACTTGTATCGCTGAAGTTTCTTAGAAAGAATTTCTACGGAAAATTAACAAACGAACACAGACGTAACAAATTGGTGTCAGAGAGTGGGACGGAAAATAAAAAAGAAAAAGAAGATGGAAACGAGATGTGGCAAATCAAACTACAGCTTAGCAGATTTGATGGCAGCAGTACAAGAACAGCAAAAGAAACAAGAAGAACGAGAAAAGAAGCAAGAAGAGAGACAACAGCACTTGCAAGAAAACCTGAAACAGTGGCAGCTCGAACAGCAAGATAAACAAGAAAAGAGATTACAGCGGTTGTTGGAGGAAAAAGAAAAGAAGCAAGAAGAGATATTACAACAGTTGTTGGAGCAAAAAGAAAAGAAACAAGAAGAGAGATTATAGCAGTGACAAAAAAACCTGCAACAGTGGCAGCTCGAACAGCAAAATAAACAAGAGAGATTACAGCAGTTGTTGGAGGAAAAAGAAAAGAAACAAGAAGAGAGAGACTACAGCAGTGGTTGGAGTAGAAAGAAATAACAAGAAGAGAGAGACTACAGCAGTGGTTGGAGGAGAAAGAAATAAACAAGAAGAGAGAGACTAC